ACTCAGACACACACACACACACACACACACACACACACACACACACACTCATATACATGCACACGCTCACACACACACTCATATACACGCACACACACACGCTCACACAGACACGCACACACAGACACGTACACACACGTGCTCACACACAGACACACACGCACACGCACACTCACACACACGCTCACACACACGCTCACACACACACACGCTCACACACACACGCTCACACACACACGCTCACACACACACACTCACACACGAGCCAGTTTCATGAGGATGGAGGGCCGAACTCACGGGAAACATCAAAGCTCGTAACTCAAACAGAAACAGAAAAATGACGGCGCGGACACTAACCACTCTCTTTTCCCTGAAATCAATGCCCACGGTGGTGATGAATTTGGGGTTGAACTTGTTGTCGGTGTAGCGGTAGAGGAAGGTGGTCTTGCCCACTCCGGAGTCCCCGAGAGCCAGGAGTTTGATCAGATAGTCGTAATCTCCATCGGTCATAGTGCTGGCGGAGCTGAACCTGCACAACAAACAGCATGAGGATATTACAGCAACCACAATAAATCCACACAACAAACACGTGAACATATTCAACCCACCTTAATAAATCAACACAACAAACATGCAAACAACCACCATGGAAATTTAAAACCAAAGTAAATCAATGAAATCACATTACATTACTATTAGTTAACTAAACCAGAAATAATTTCATTACTTGAAAAGAAATTAACATTAACTGAAATAAAATTATTTCAGACAGCTGCCAAGGCAACATTTCTCATTTTAATTTATTTTAACTATCTAAATAAATTTAGATAAATTTAATTATCTAAAATAATTACAACTAAAACGGAAATAAAAATCAATAAAAAACTACATAGACGTGTATGTAAAAAACAATGACAAAAACACATGACAAAAATTGTAATAAAAATTTAAGATCAATTTTAAGTAAAATTGATTGAAAAGTTAATAAAAACTATAATTGTATCTTAATAATACTAAAATAAAACTGTAAATCACATAATTAATTTAAAAAATAGAAGACAGAAAAACAGATAAATAAGAGACAATAATTGAAACTGTTAAATTAATTAAAAAATGACATTTAATAACTTTTGAGGAAAAAAATGACAATTGTTACACAGACACACATTTATGTGCGTGTTCATGTGTATATGCACTGATATTTTATACTATTAATACTAATAGCTAAATATTTAATTTTGCACAAAAAACAATATATATCCATCTATCTATCTATATCTATATCTATATCTATATATAGTAAACTGATGTTACTGAAATTGCAAAAGAAAACTATTTTTCTGTATATGTACATGTGTGTGTATTATACAACTCTGCTCGCTATTAAAGAGCCCATATTGCTCAACCAATAACACACATCAAGGCCAAAGAAACCAGAAAGAGACAGATTGAACAATATCTCAGTGTGACGGAAGGTCTCTCTCTCAGAAGGTCTCAGGGTCCAGCGGGCCCCAGGGCCGTTTCTACAGTGCTCAAATAATCTCATTTATACGTGTGGGCTAGAGACGCTGCAGTAAACACATCACAGCCCGCAGCAAACGCTCAGCGCTCACACATTCACTAGAGTTCATCAGAGATAGATGAATAGAGCTTCATTCATCTGTGAGCGGCTCGTCCTGCACATGACCCAGAGCCGCTTCCTCGTGATCAGCAGATCTGTGGCGCTCTGTCTCTCACATCTTTCACACCTCACCGTCTCCTAAAATAAAACACGCCACTTCCTGTCTGTGTTCAATCCTGATTCACTCAATCCCAATGAATATACTTCTACAGCATATGATCTCAGCGAACCTGTCATGTTAAGAGCACATTATGCCACAAGAATATGAAGAAAAGAAAAGAAACCGATTTTAAGACCACTAAGATTAGTTGTACAGTGACATTGTTTACATTTAATTTAAAGCAAGACAATACAGGTAAATAGGGTTTTTTATATCACCATTCTTTCTCCAATTGATTAATCACAATAAACAAAGACAATTGTTTTGTATTGTAAGTTATCTGAAATCTTATGTTTAAATATACAAGCTAGGTAATATCTAATTCAATTTGCAAACATTTCCAGAAAATAAAACTAAATATTCGATAAAGCCAGGTTCAAAATTCTTTGATTTTGTTGACATTAGAGTTAAAGGTTTTTATAGAAGGGATTTTGGATTTCTCTTTTTATCACTCCATAAATCCTTTTTTTTTTAAATGTTTTTATGAATAAAATGTCATGTAAATCAGTGTGAATGATATATGAACAAACCCTCAGTAAAAACCTTCAGAATATAGAGAGGAATAAAACTGTAAGTTTTGGTGTACGTGAGTGATGCTGAAGTGGAGGGAAATAAAAAAAGACGCAAATAGATAAACTGCAATAAAATATACACTTAAATGTGTATTTTAATATGTAAGGTCATGAAGATTTGCCTAAAGGGAGCAATCATACCTCAGGTAGTGTATTTAAACCCAAAACATCAACGTAACTAATGTAGAAGTGTCCAGTCACACTGAAGACCATTACTATCAGGACCTTACAATATCTTACATATCTACAAATACAAGCTCAATTATTTGTGCATTCACTTACAGAAATAAAATTATCTATATGACTTGAGGAACATATTGAGATTACAGAAGACTATTTTAAATATATATATATATATATATATATATATATATGTATATGTGTGTGTGTCTGTGTGTGTGCATTTTGTTGTGCGCAATTGCAAAATAGGCTTTGTTGCAAACAATTGCGAAATGCATTATTTAGCATGCAAATGAAAATGCATTTTGTTGCAAGCAATTGCGGAATGCATTTTGTTGCATTCAATTATGGAATGCGTTTTGGTGCATGAAATTACAAAATGGGTTTAGCTGCATGCAATTACAAAATGCGTTTTGGTGCATGCATGTACCAAAACACATTTTGTTATTTCATTTACCAAAATGCATTTCATAATTGCATGCAGCTAAATGCATTTTGTAATTTCATGCACCAAAACTCATTTTGTAATTTCATGCAATTTCATGTAATTTCATAATTGCAAGTATGAAATGCGTTTTTTGCATGCAATTATGAAATACCTTTTCTTGCATGCAATTGTAAATTGCAAAATGCATTATGTTGCATGCAAACACGAAATGCATTTTGTTGCATGCAATTGCAAAATGCATTTATTTACATGCAATTGCGAAATGCATTTTTTTTGCATGCACCGTTAACTAGATAAGAACTGACCTGTGCAAATAACTTGGCATTTTTCAATTGATATTCCAAAAGAAAAATCATTTGTCCAGAAGCGGAGACATCCGATTTAAGATTATAACAAGCAGCAAACAGAAGCAGAAAACCAATGTGCCATCTGTTGTCAAAAATCTGTTTTTCTGTTGTTGATAATTGGTTTGCACATTAATCAAATAAGGCTGTACTGACCCAAGAAGACTGAACAATGACATATTGACTAAAGTTTGAAAAAAAGAGTCAATCTAATGTGATTTATGTCTGACCTCAGGCACACTGTGCTCTTCAGACTCTTTCATTCCAAACACAATGAGCACGAGTTCAATAGATTAAACACATGCTCAGTGGAACCAGCCTGATGTGGATTCAGCAAGGCTTTGGCTCCGTCCTGAAACCTAGTGTATTACAGAAACACACATGCAGCCATATAAAACACACACACACCCCCTCAGTAGAGTCTCTGCGCGACATCTGTATCTGTGCTGGCAGTGAAGCTGTGGAAAGGTTATCTGTGCTGTGAAACGCCCTCAGAGGTCGATGTTACACAGGGACCAAACGGGGTCAGAGCCCCACCGCGCCGGTCTGAGCCGGGTCTAGAACAACCTCCCATGAGCCCTGCGGCTGACAAACCCTGAAAATCACACACTAGATTTCTACATTCACTGAAAATGACGTGTTCACCTGAGCAAAAGACAAAACCATGATGCCGGGCTGCAGTGGCTGGTTGCCATGGTGTGCTATGCGGCTGCTAAGGGGTTCTTAGTGACTTTTTGCATGTTGATATCAGTGTTATTTTAAGCTCATAAATATACTATTATAGTATTTATTAATAGCAGTATTTTCCATTTTGAATTGGTTTAGTTAAATCTAGTAATTTGCTTGCACTGTTTTTTAGTCTGTTTAATTTCTATTCATTTTTAAGTTTTAGTTTTTGTAATTGCTTAAAAACTTAAACTAAACTAAAATTAGAAATGCTGCCATGGCAACTATAACTGAATGTACTATTATAGCATTTATTAATATTAGTATTTCCATTTTCATTTTCATTTTAGTTAATGTTTTAGTAGTTTTGTTCGGTGTTTTTTGTCGTTTTATTCGTTTTTTATATATATATCTATTTTGTTTTTATTTATTTTTATTTCAGTTTTAGTTTTAGTAATTTTAGTACTTCAATGAACTAAACAAAAATTAGAAATGCTGCCTTGGAAAATTGTTAGTTTTAGTCATTTTGTTCAGTTTTTTTCATTTTTGCATTTCTGTCTAAATAAATATATGTCTAAATGTCTATTTAGTTTTATTACGGTTTCAGTTTTAGTAATTTTAGTTCAACAAACTAGAAAAAAATGTGAAATGTTGCCTTGGCAACTAACTGAATGTACTAATATAGTATTTATTAATATTATTATTTTCATTTAATTTTAATTTTAATTTTAATTAAAGCTTTGGTCATTTTGTTCTATTTTTGTCATTTTTAATATGTCTATATAGTTAAGTTATAGTTATACTGTTAATAATTTTAGTAATTCAACTTTAAATGGAAATTAGAAACGCTGCCTTAACAACTAACTGAAATAAAATATGTTCATGTTTTTATATTTTATTTGATTTTAATTAATGCTGGATGATATTGGGCATTGCTTAGTTTTGCAAATACTCTTGAGCTGTTTTTAAAAATATTTAAAATAAAACGTTAAAACTGTTAAAAGTGTGATTTGAGAAGCTGGTGCAGCATCTAACTGTTTTTTTTTAAGGGCTGCTTTCTTCAGTCTCTGAACACAAAACAGAGGTTTTTTTGGCATTAAAAGCAGATGTCAGAAACGCCTGGTTAATAGGAAAATGAGGGCAGGGTTAAAGCAGATGACCTTAAAAACAAACTCAATAAACAAAACAGAGACCTTTGACATCTCAACAGATGCTAAAACGATTTAGCAGAACATGCACTTTATACACGCATCAGTTCCAGTCAAACCTAACTAGATTGTTTTGGCCATCTTTAATTAGTATTGTCCAGTATACAATGTCTCTCGTTCATTAACTGATCACATGTAGTTAATCGAGTCAAGCTGCTGGTCAGACAGACCCTGCAGGAACATTCACGACATAGTTCTGGTTAAAGCAGGTCTAATGCATGACATCTGATCAGACAAACTGTGACATTTAGACAATCTGACGCAGCAGACAGGGCGATTCATTAAACTGCATCACTAAATGTGCTTTTTACCATCACAAAAGCAGCTTCC